TAGCAGCACTTATTTGGCTATCATAACAACCTAGAGTAAAGAACAATGGGCTATCTCATAGCTCTATACGTTGGAACATCTTACTGGTTCATAAACTGTAAACATTTTATAGCCTGTGTAGGTGTGCACATGTCTGTTATCAGTACAAGCACAATTACTAGGTTTAATAGCTTTCCAAACTTATGGCTAGTGTAGAGTGGAGCACAATCTAGCATATTTTGTTTCTCACTAAATAGTTGTAAAAGTATTTGAGCTTAATCATTTCAGTTTACACAAACAATTTGTATATCTCTACAAAACAGAATGTAAACTTTGTTTCAAGCACTTTTCACATTTCAGCCGAAAGTGGCCTGAGTGCAGTGTCACAACTAACCCCATAGACAGAGTTAATTGTAATAGATTGACTGGTAGGTCAATGCAAACACAATTATCCAATACAATACCACAACATAACCAGATTAAATTAACCACATTTCTTGTGATGTTGCATTTTAAATTGCTGCTCTGACAGAAGGTGCTTGCATTTTTGGAATCTGTTATTCGATTTGTGAAGATCAAAAATCGCTTGCCACGTGTCTGATGTTAGTTCTTCCCCATTCTGAACCGCAATGGGCATTATAAATACTCCAGTTGTTTGATGCATTTTTAAGAATCTCAAGGGGTGGCATTCATTTTGGCACTTACTGATGCTGTTATGTTACAACAGCATCGCCTGCAACTACAGGTAATGCCACGAAAATGGACAAAATGATATATTTCATGTCATTATATTTAGCAGATATTAACAAACATGCACACAATACAATTGCAACACCAAGAAAGACATGAGATATCAAAGTGATATTTATTTGGCAGATTGCTTGTGTTACATAGCACACATGATTGTGCAGAATACACAACAGTTTTTATTTGGTGTATCCACAACAGGCCAAAAGAATTGCTGCTACACAGTCGAGAATGGAGAGGAAGAGACATTGGAATGGCATGCTATGCAGGCTCTATACGTGCCTAAGTTCATGTGTGAAAGCCACTGGTGGTCATTGTCATGTTAAAATATGGCACCAGGTGACCCCTGTAGATAAGGTACCACCATATGCCCCAACACCACTGTCATGTATCAATTGCTGGTCAAAAAATCAGTAATGAGTACGAGGGGCAAATGCGAACGGAACCCAATGGTACCTCAAACCACAGTGCCTAGCGTGGACCTATATGGCTCTGCAAAATGCATGCCTCCATGAGCCTTTTGCCCAGTGCCTCCATATATGGATTCATCCATCATGTTGCAGTAAACTGAAGTGGGACACAGCCAGAAATACAATAAGATGCGACTCATTGATCACATTCTTGGCAAATGGCCAATCCAGTTTCTACCATTCCTGCAATTCTCCCTTCTTCAGAGTCTGAAAGCTGGATGTATGGCTGTTGTCTTCTTCACTGGTGCATGCTTGGTTCCTAAAAGAACTCTGACTACAAGCAAACACTTAATGACATGCTTTGAATCTGCTCTTTGCAGTGGCCTTCTGTACCAAGTCTAGGGAGCATAACTCACACATAATTTGCATGTGGGCTGCTCTTGCAATCGTTTTCACATGCCATCATGACCTACCTTTTCGCAAGTTTTGGATACACATGTTGTGTATTTCCCAGTGTAGCAAGTTAAATGACCAGCAGTGTATATTCATTAAAATAAACATTGCAAATTTGTTTTTGACTACAAAGTGGAAGAGCTAATTGCAGAACAATACAATTTAAATAGATTTTATTTGCAAGATGTCTGTGGCACGCTTTTTTGATATATTTGTGGGAATATGAAAAGGTGACCTAAAGCACCTTTTACCTTCATCTTTTTAATTGCATAAAAGTCCATGTTACATTTACAGTAACACTTTACTTGAAAACTACCTACATAGGCACTACCAACACTGTACATGTAACTGGCCATCCACGTGATGCAAAAGAATTCAGGACTCATCAGACCAGGCAACCTTCTTACGTTGGTGCTAGGACCAGTTCTAACACTTGTGTGCCCATTATAGGCACTGTCAATAGTGGACAGGCATTAGCGTGACTCGTCTGTGGCTAAGCAGCCCCATACACAGCAGCGTGAGACGCACTGTGTGTTGTGACACATTCTTTCCATACCATCAACAAACATTTCTGTGATTTGCACCACAGTAGGCCTCCTGTCTGTTCGACCAGATGGGATAGACTTTCGCCACCTTTGCGCATTGATGAACTGGCACTCCATGAGTACCTGCTTCTACTAGGTTTAGAAATGGTATGTTTTATGTAAAAATAGAAACATCCAAATATTATAATGTTCAAATATTCAAAGATTCAAGTAAACTTTTTACTCTGTTTCTAAATCCTGATATTTATTAACCCATGCTAATAATTCCAGAGTCTATCTATCATGTGCTCTCTCTCTCTCTTTTACACACACAGGTTCAGTAGAGAGATGAATGTGAGACAATATGGGTGTTTTAAAAGGAGAGTGTGTTCCCTGGGGAGGGCAATGATCATATGCCTATAAAGAGTGCAGTGACTCACTCTACTGTGCTGTGAGAGTCAAGCAGTGAGTCAGCATCTTCCATCTTCACCTTTCTTTTACACACACACTCACAAAGATGTAAGCATATACTCTGCGGGTGATGAGTAAGCACTGATCACCGCTAAAAACCTGCCTTCAGCATAAATAATTGATGAAACGCAAGATAACCTATGCTCACATACATAAAACCACATAGGAGCTTATAATTTCATGCTAACGGAACTATAGTGAAAATCCTGAAGCATTAGAATACACCATGCCATGTTGTTGAATATACCTAATATCTTACTCCAGTTACAAAAATGATAGTTCTGGTTCTAAATGTGCCTGACCATATAGCAAAATACTGTTAATGCTGTTTTGTGTAACCATTGCTACTCGTGTAAACATGTTTATTCACATCCTACAGTAATCTCTAGAGTGAGATTTTCCAGTTTAAATAGTAGGAAACCCATTCGATGATATATTATTAAGGTGAGAAGAACTTTTGAAAAACTACAACTGCCTTAGGGTGGATTTTTGGGGGTGGGGTGTTTGAAGTTTTTTTTTTTCCTGTTAGCTGATGAAAGCAGATAGAAGAATCTAACATTACCGTTCGGAAGCTAAATCTTATTACAACAGTATACCTGGCAAATGTTTTGGTTGTATTTATTATCTTAAAGATCAGCAGCTGGGCAAGCAGCCAGGATTGGTTGACACCACAACAATGGTTGTATGGCGTATTTCTGTAATGCATGCTGGGTATTGTAGTGAGAAAACATTGATGACAAAAGCACAAAAACAAATGTAAAATTGTGAATTCTGTCAAACCGTTGAAGCTGAGGAAAATATGGGTGCACTACAGCTGGACTACGGTGCTAGAAAAACCAGCATGGTTTAGGTGGTCACCAACAGAACCCGGTTATGTTGTTTTTTGGGTGCTGGTATACTGGTGAACTAGCATGACCATGCTGGGTGACCAACTAAACCTGCACCTGACCAGCATAAACCGGTTTAGCCCAGAATGCCCCTTTAAGGGGCTTTGCGTTGTGCATAAAAACATCCCTTAACTGTGGTTAAATCATTGTAACTTACAGCCTCTTGTTGCTTATAGCTTTATTGAACACTGTTTATTCTGAATCAGACTGCCAACCTAATTTAAATGACAGCATTAGGAAATACATCTACATCCACATTCTCACACAGTCCTCCTCAGATGATATTGATGCAGCAAACAATCACGTCACCACTGATGAGCTGAGACCTTTTGATCGTGTGTGTGTGTGTGAGAGAGAGAGAACGGATGATTTGTTAAATGACCTCTGTCAGTGTCTTTACACAGACGTCCACTCAACTGCAAAAAGGCTCCATGATTCCGTCCAAAATCGGCCACTTAACCTAATGAATATCGAGAATTGCGACGGCTCAGCTTTGACTGAAATTGACCGTCCATTTCCGGTAAGAGGGAATGGTGAACTGGCTCCAGTCCACACACTGTCCAAAACAAACACTCGAAACGGCGAGCTGGCCCTTTAAGAAATCCTAGACACACACACAGCAGCATATTTGTATTCCTATATTTGTGAGGACTCCTGTATTACTGAAGCTAATACTGAGATAATACTCTGTTACGATGTTATGTTTCTAATTGTTCTATTTTGAGTTTCTTATTATTTTATTTGCCTTTTTCTTTTTTCAGGTTACAGTTCTTCAGCACTGGCCAACATTTGTTTTTAAAGGGCAGTTCCATCATTTTTTCCAAATTTCATAATTATACATAATGGTTAAGATTTTTACAAAGTAGCAAATGCGTTCAGAATGGTTTGATGTGAAATGCATCATTCTAGTGAAACTTGCCAGACTCAGAATTGTTCACAGTGGTGGTGATGGGAACCAGACGTCTGAAAGCCTCAGAAAGTTATTGCATAAAATAGTTATTAATACCATGCCTGACGACCGAGAGACTGTTTTACGATAGTTTACAATACAATTTTGGCCTAAAACGTATTAAAATCCATTAATGGCGGAGGGATACATGTAGAGCATTGTGAGTAGTAGTCCCCTTTCTCCCATATTCACCACTACTTTGCTCATTTTACCAACTACCACCACTGTAAATAAATCTTGATGTAAACGCACTCTGACTCACTTTAACCTCAGCGATTAAATTATTCAGACCTTTTGAAATTAAACTTTGAATTTCCCCTTCAAGTTGGCTTGACTAACAGTATCTGCATTTATGTAGCTTTTTCAGTCGTGCTTCCTAAAGGGAACGTCACTCATTTTCATGTTTTGATATTCGGTTCTCACAACGAACTGAAAACACGACCACACACACACACACACACACACACCACACACACACACATATACACACACACACACACACACACACACATAGGCACACGCCTGCGCCCGCACACGCACACACACGAGGACGCGGAGCGCGCGGACTGAGGCGCACACAGTCACCCTGTTGCCGTGCGCGGCGCGGGAAAGATGGGGCGCGCGTGGATGCTGTTCACGGCGGTTACGTTGTTGTTCACTTCACAAACAGGTAAGACTCGGCCCTGTTTTAAAAGCCTTCACCTCTTTCTCTGGTTCTGTTTTCGCTTTTCCGTAAGTGCGGGCTGTGAGACGCGCTGGTGAAGATGTGCATGTGTTTCATTGTGAGAGCGGGATTAGCGGGATGAACAGCCCGGTTATGTTTCTGCAGACAGATGGAACCGCGACGGTTATCATTTCTTTTCTTCCCCAAGCTGTTCACACCACGATGTGCCAAATCCTGAAAGGGGAATTCCACCGATTTTTAAAAAAGTCGTAAATCGTTGAGACGCTAACAAAGTGGTTCAGAGTGGTTTGTTGTGAAATGATTCATATGTAGAGAAACTTATTTTGATTTCTACACAGTATTGGCGATAGGAACCATTTTATACTTAGCCATTTTATGTGATGTCCAAAATGTCCAGTCTATGTTGATAATGGTAAAATAGCAGTAAATCTGTGTTCTTTGGGGACTATTTTGTCTTGCATGTTATCTCAAAACTATCTCAAGCATCATACATGCAATGTATTTGTCAAAATTTCATGGAACAACTTTCTATCAGGTAGTGTTCAGGGGCATTACATTATGTGGACGTCTGGTTCCTATCATCACCACTGCGAACAATTCTGACTCGGTAATGTTTCTCAGGAAAGGTGCACTTCACATCAAACTGCTCCGAATGACGTTCTTTACATCTTAACCATGTCACTGTGCAGAAATTTTGAAAAATCGGTGGAGTTCCTCTTTAAGCGTGTGGACACTGATGAGTTCCGTGCGTTTCGTTCCGTCGGTCAATAATTGATATGTTTGTAATTAGAGCCGTGACAGAGGCTAAGGAACACAGACGGCTTCCCTCACAGTAGCTCTGCCTCTCACAGATAGCATACTCTCCTGCCGTTAGCATGTGGTGTCCGACGCACCTCCACCTAACAGAAAATCGACAAACACTAAGTTCATTTGCATAACCGCAGTCTAGGATCACTGCGGGCGGACTGAATGACTGATTGATGATGCAGCTACAGGTGGTTGCTAGGGTTACGGGGGCTCGCCGTTGGCGCTTTAACTACAATCCTTATGAAAATAGCCTTATGTAAACGTGTTTATTTACTGGGGCAAGGATGGGAATGCCAGTTCTAGGACTTCTCCGAGGCTCCGAAGCTGTTTCGTCTGTCTTTGTACTCTTTCTGCGCGAGGTTTTGTTTTCGCGTCCACATGACAAATCATAGCGCTCAGTGACGTCACGGCCCAGGCTTTGCTGGCCCGGTCACAAGAAAGAGGTTTCGGCGGAAGGCCTGCAACGGTTACGCAAATGAGAGACCCAGTTCTGAAGGGGCTTCTAAAATTTTACGAGATCCACACGAGCCAGATTATGCTTGCTGGGAAATCTGTTGCAGGAGCCTTCCCAAAACTCAGTGTTTCAGTCAACGTCTGCACAGACGTTTGGCTGGTGCAGATGAACTGATTGGATATATGAAACCAACAGAAACCATGAAGTGTTTCTGTTGGTTGCTAATGGTTTTGTAATGTGTTCTGGCCTTTTAATGGGTTGATTTCACAATGTAAAGGATCCTAATGGTTTACCAGGTGCATTTGATCTTTTCCTAATTGGATCTAAAGGTGTTCTACAGGAAACTAGTGGTCTCGATTGGGCCTTTCCTATAGAAAAGCGATCAGGTTTTAATTCTAATTGGTTCTTATGGTCCTTTTTCAGCAGGGCTACCAAGCTTCCTGCAGCTTGAAAGAGGAATCCCATTTTCAACATTACTGCGCAATACAACCACTGACATGTAAACCAAGTCATTCGAAGTGGTTTAATGTTTGATGGGTTAATTTCAGAGGAACTTACAGACCTGTATTCCTCTACAGTGGTGGTGGACGGCACCAGAAGATCTGAAAAAAACAGCGTACCCACACGCTTCTCAGGTTTATTCCGCCGCTGCTGCGACAAAACGTTGTATCTCCATTTTCACCATTTTGCATAATTTTAAAACCATGTTCAGATGTATTGTGTACAGATTTTGTGACCAGCCCAACAGAAATGGTTCAGAATTACTTGAGAAAAAAGTCTGGCTGCATAAACTTCCATTAAAAGTTAAGAATGTTTGTTACTTCTCCTGTGAAGTTAGCAATTTGGAGATATGAGGTTTTGTTCCGACAAGGATAATATGTGATGTTCATAATGGTAACATAGTGTTAAAGCTGAGAAAATAAGCTTTCTTTGGGTTTATTTTAGCTTACAACACCCTGCGTATATCTCACCAATATGAATGCAGGGATGTGTGGCGTGGGGGAGCTGAGGGTGCTGCAGCACCCCCAGATTTCAGGATTGCAACTGCTAAAAACAATAATAATAGTACAGAAATTTGAACCTGGTGCAGCAAAGGCTCATGTTTTTATAAACTGTTGTATCTCCTGCTCAGTATGCCTTCCCGTGTTAAATCTCAGCGTGTGACTGTGGACGTGACACAGTCAGTTACCGTGCCACATATCGACAGTCTGATTGGTCGCTGCTCAGTTCATTTTCATAAAGATCAACCACGGCGAGAAAGCAGAGTGGGGAAGTGCCTCAGCAGTCTGATGGGTCAGACATATGTATATCGCTGCTGTCGGAACAAAACCTTGAATCTCCAAAATGGTAACTTTACAGGAAAAGGAAAAAACATACATTACTTTTAATGTAAGTCAATGGAACCAGACTTTTTTCCAAGTCTGTTTGTCCATTCACCATGAAATTTACACACCATGTAAAGGGCAACAATTGCAATTTATGTCAAAACTGAAAAACAACAAAAATAGGTTAGATACAAGGTTTTGTTCCAACAGCAGCGATATATTACCATCTCTTACCTCATTACAGTACCTCATTACATATGACATTCTTTTTGATGTAAATTATCAAAAATTCACATTAAATAATTTTGCATGGTATCATTCACATCACGTATATGCTGTTTAGAGTTTCAGCACCCCCAACTCTAAACGCCTTCCCCAAAAAATCTTAAATCTCTCGTAAAATAATGTTTCATTCATCACGCAACATATTCAAAACTATTTCATGCAATAACTTGGTAATTGAGTTTTTGAGGCATTAAAAACTTCAGACATCTGATTCCTATCATCACAACTGTGAGCTGTAAACAGTTCTGACTGTTTCTCTAGGCCGAAGCATTTTATAACCACCCACTCTGATTGACTATGTTCACTTCCTAACATTTCAGTTATGCAGAGATTTTGAAAAATCTGTGAAATTCCCCTTTACATACAGCACCCAAGCTGTGGATGATTATGCTGGTAAGGTGCAGCACTTAGAGGTTGCTGGGGGGTGGTAAAGAGTCCTGTTTTAGCCTACACTCTATCAGAACATAAACTCACACCCTAAAACACTAAAAATATGTCCACTATGATGCTCTTTGAGAGTGTCAAAGTGGATTGTTTCTAGTTAGCTGTTTTAACATGGACTGCTTTCTACCAGAAGTTCGGAACCACACAGTGAAAGAGCCTGGGGCTGATTATTTAAACAAGTGCTAATATTAGGCAAATTATCCCTCTTTGTTCTATTTCATGCGCCAAGGAATATTTTTGCCTCACCTTTATATAAACATTCCCTTTGCGCGGTCATTCTATTGTATTATTAATTAAAAAAAATTGCACTTAATTATAAGCTACACAAACAGAACATCACCTGCTAACTAACTACACATATGCATACTTTGAATACACCTTAGAAAGATTATAATGTTGATTTTCAGCATGTCTAAGAATGCTTGGGAACATGCAGTTGGACCAGAGAAACTCTATATGATATCTGCTTTCCAGAGGAGAATGAAAAATGGACAAGGTTGCTCAAAAAGAAAGGTGCCAATGTGCCAGTTTGGCAATATTGGGTGACACCTTGTTAACACTGTGAACAGTGTTACATTATGTCTATGCAGACTATAGTTATCATAAAGAATATTTTGTGGTATTGGACGCTAGCCCAGTTAATAATGTTATTATAATAATTATATTATGAGGCTCTTTAAAGCTCACATGTGATACTTTATAACTGAAGTTGGATCACAATGATATCGTTTATCACAATAATTCTGCATCTGCTCATCCTTGGTTTAAATTTACATTACTGTCCAAGCTTACAGTGAAGACAGAAGTGTGATACCAGGTGTTCCCACTTTGTGTCATCTGTTGCATATACAGTTGCATGCAAAAGTTTGTATGCCCCAGGTCAAATTACGTGTTGTTGATTTTGTAAGTGAAAATAAGTTAACACATCCTCAATAGAGAACAAACTTAAATATGAACTTTTTCAGCACATTTTGGTGTACGTTGCTTATTATTGGTAATAATGATTAAAAATCTAAAATAAATAAACAATTTATAAAATTAACAAAAGAAAAATTGTGCATTAAAATGTGAAGTGTGTTCACTGTACATGATGTGTACTTACCAACAAATTTGAGCAGGGTGCCTAAACTTTTGCATACGACTGTATATGTAGCCATAGCCTAGCTCCGGCAGATTAAATTTGACATTTAGAACAAATAAAATGTTCTCATTCATAAGGAAAGATTACTGGCCTATTTTACCATGTATTGTACCTTTGGTACAATACTTACATACATGTTTGGTTGCACATGCAACTCATCAACAAATTATGCCCTCTCTGTTGGTTAACGGAGGCAAAATTTGATCTGTTTGGAATGAACATCTTGGCAAATATTGCAACTGCAGTTGTAAGAGTACATGAGGAGGGTTAGTTACTTACTTGAGAAAGATTGGCAGAAACATTTTCCAAAAGAAATGCAAAAAGCTGCGAGAGGCCATCCATTACAGTGATTTATCAATGGTTACGGTGCAACTTGTCCATTTTGATAGGCTGTGACCTAGAACAAACATGCAAAAACATCACAGTTAAGATTTGGAGTGTGTGGGATTGTATCCTATCTTCTTGGGACAGGCCGCTGTTGATGTTTTCGCGATGTTAATGTTCTGAAACATCATATTAGAATGTCATC